ATCAATTAGGTTCAAACTCATCATGGCATTCAAGGTTCTCCATGGAAAGCCCAGCTTTCTGGCATTTTTGAAGGGTGCCTATTACCTACTTGCTGAATTAAAGGACAGTGGAGAAGGACGGTGCTACCTGAGCCTAAAAGTCCACCAGCAGCACTGCTTATGCTGACATCTCTCACTTCATCTTTTTTTGGCGGGGTGGGGGGCGTGGGGTAGAGGGTCCTCAATAATTTATAATTTAATTTTTAATTAACATGCAGTAAAATGGGCTTTTTTGGTGTACAGTTCTATGAATTTTAACACATGTATAGACATGTGATATGACCATCACTATCAGGATACAGAATAGTTCCATCACCCTGAAAACTCCCTTGTGCATCCCTCCCCCATCCCTAACTCCTGGCGACCACTGATCTATATGCGGTCACTACAGTTTCGTCTTTTGAGAATGTCAGGTAATCATGAAGGATGTAACCGTTTGAGACTGGCTTCTTTCACACAGCATAAAGCCTTTGAGATTCATTCAATTTTCATTTCTCCTTGTTGTTGTTATCATTGAGTCGACTCTAACTCATAGCGATCTCATGTGTGTCAGAGTAGACCTGTGCTCCATAGGATTTTTAATGGCTGATTTTTTGGAAGTAGATCACCAGGCCTTTCTTCCGAGGCGCCTCTGGGTGGACTTGACCCTCCAACCTTTCAGTTAGCAGCAAGCACATTAACCGTTTGGAGCACCTGCTTATTTAAGCACAGCCCCATCCCTATCAGGACTTGTCAGCATCTCTGCACAGACCCACAGAGCTGGGAAGGTGAAGTCTCCCATCACTCTAAGAAGGTTAACCACCCAGTGTGCCAGAGGAGGGCTTTGGAGGCAGGCGGGAGAAGAGGGCCAAGAGGATTGAAAAAAAAAGCCTGGAAGGCCTGCTCTGTAAATGTTAGCAGAATTGGACATTCCCTAATGAAGGCAATTAAAGCGAGTCATTATGCTAAAAAGGGAAAAGTAAACACAGATACATATGCTAATTGGCCAACAATAGATGTTGGGGCGGCTGTCTCCTCTGGCTGCCTGCTTCTGTCTTCTGAATCCTGTCTCTTTACTGCTAACCCTCCACCACCTCAGTCATTCCTCTGTCCTCTACTGCTCCCTCGGTGGTGGCCCCTTCTCGGTGTCTTTGCTGGTTCATCCTCATCTCCTGTAACACGTATGTTATGGTGCCCGGGCCTCCCAGCCCTCAGCCCTCCTTTCTGCTCTACCTACACTCCTTTCCTGAGTGAGCCCACCTAGAACCACAGCTTTAGATACAATCCAGACCTTTCCATCTCCAGCCTGGATCCATATGGTTGTGACTGGGGCCAACTCAGCTCGTATAGGCTTGTGAGAGCCCACTGTTAAACGTCCAGGATCTACGAGAGCCAGCTGACTTCACACTGGCAGCTTGAAATCAGCCACGGTAGCTGTATTATACCATGGAGATCAGCAAATGCTACAAATCAGCCCCTACCTTCACCCAGAGCCAGCTGCTCGACATTTACCAACACAACCTACCTGCCTTCTCAGCATTTCCATTTGATGTCTAACAAGTATGTCAAATGTAACATGTTGAAAGTTGACCTACAGATTCCACCTTCACCTCACCAGATCTGCTCCTTACCATCTCCACGTGTAAGAACTCCATTATTCTAACTGCTCAGGCCAAACTCTTGTGCGGTCATTCTGAACTCCCTCCCTCCCTCAGCCTCCTCTCCCCATACGTATCAGCAAATCCTACTGACTCTCCCTTCAAAGTAGATTCAGGAGCTGACCACTTCTCACCCCTCCACGGCACCACCTTGACCGAAGCCATGACCATGTCTCATCTGAATTACTGTAATCGCCTCCTGAGGTGTCCCTCTTTGGCCCCTGGCCTCTCCTGTCTATCCACCCCCTGGCAGCCAGATTGTTCTTCCTTTTGAAACTTCAAGCCACAGCCCTGCTCTTTACCTGACCAAGCCACTCCCCATGCTCCTTACCTGACCAAGCCACTGCCCTGCCCCTTACCTGATCAAGCCACTCCCCCGTTCCTTAGCTGGGTATGAAAGCCCAAGTCCTTACAGCAGCCCCCAGGTTTACACAGTCTACAGCCCCTTGTCTCCGAGCACTCTCTTCTAGCCACTTGGGTCTCCTTGCTCTTCCTTGATGTGCAGACAACACTCCTGCCCCAGGGCCATTGCACTTGCTGTTCCCACTGCCTGGAATGCCCTTCCTCCAAATAGCCACCTGCCTCCCACCTCACTTCACCAAGGTCTCTCCTCAAATGTCATCATATCAGACAGGCCTCTTCTGACTACCTTCTCCACTTCCCCAGTACTCCCTTAAGCCCCTTGCCCTGCTTTATTTTTATCCGTGACTCTTAGCACCACCTGTCATCATATGTATTACTTGTTTGTGTCTTTAGTGTCTGTCTTACACCACTAGAAAGTATGATGCCCGAGGGCAGGACTTTCTCCATTGTGTTCACTGAAGAATCCACAGTACCTAGAATAGCTCCTGGCACTTAGTAGGTGCTCAACAAATACTTGTTGAACAAATGAAATGAATGAATTCATTCCCATCTCCCATTCAATGGAGAAGTCATTCTAGGACATCTCTTCCTTTTCCTGCCCCAGGCCTGTGGGCACATGCTACCCCTGCATGCTTAGCCAGCCATTGGGTGTCTTTTGTCTTGCTGTGTGACCTTATGTAAAAGATCCCCTCTCTAAGTCTAGTTTTGCTCATGTGAAAAGAGCAGCAATATTATCTGCCTGTTGACACTAGACTCAGCATTTGTCAGGACAAAGGAGAGGAAAACATCTATACTTTTTAGCTGGAATATAAATGGATAACAACCTTAATTATGAACCTTTCTTTTCACTCTCAATACTTTTCTCAAATTAAGTGGGTGACAGATGGAGAAACTGAGGCCTGGAGAGGGAGATGGGGGCCTGCCCTATGCCTTCGGGGACACAGAGACAGCACTGCTGTTGAAACCTCTGCCCGTCCCCACCCCAGGACGTTTCCAGGGTCTATAAGGGCCAGCTGACACCATGTTGGCAGCTTAAAATCAGCCACAGTAGGAGTATTACACCAAGGAGATCACCAAATGCTACAAATCAGGGCTCCCTCACCCCCAGTCCCTGCCCCATTGCCCCTTCCAGTGGACAGACCAACAGGAGGTTGGGAAAGTGGAGATGGACACGGGATCTGGGGTGGCACTCCCCTGTGCCCTCCTCGTGCCCCTCCCTCTCCACAGCTGCTCAGTGAGGCTCTTAGCCTTCCTGTTACTTGTTGGTTAGGATATTTCACAGGGCATGATCACAGGGATGCGGTGAGACACACGGGCACAACTCCCAGCTGAGCTGAGCTTACCCCTCCCTTCAAGGCAAGGGATCAACAAAACATACCATCTATTCTTGTGGGTTGTGACAGGGTAGCCAACGGGGCAGGCAGGGGGAGTGTGGAGCAACAGACCATGTTCTAGAGCTGAATGGGGCTCCCCGGTGCCAACAGTGAAGGGGCACCATCATGGGCATGGGCCAGTCAAGAGGCAATGGAGGGAGGAAGAGGGACGAGGATGAAGTTTGTTAGTTTTGCTCCTGATCCCGGTGGGGGTCTTCAGGAAGACCCAGCCACTGTGTTTAGGGTGCATGACTCCTCAAATAAAATGACTCCCACTCCCTCCATCCATGCCAGCTCTGCTCAGGAGTGGGGAAGGAGACCAGGGAGGTGAGTGAAAGGGGACCAATTCCCCAAATCCAAAATGAAAGCTGGACTCCAGCTGTGGGGAGCCAAAGGAACTGGGGCAGACAGGGGGTACGGAATGGGCGCTGGCCCTACTTCACACCCCTCGCAGGGCTACCGGGGCCTGGGGTAAACAGCATGCTAATTAGATTTACAGATGAGACTAAATTCGGAGGTGTCTGAATCACCATGGAGGACACCCTCTGATCCTCAGGGAGGTTGGAGTTTAGAATGCTGGGAGGAATCATACCATGGGATGCAGCCATGGACAGAAAAATCCTAATAATCATTAGCATCATAATAAGAGCCTCGGCAAAGGCAACTGGGGAGAAATTCATGGGAAAAAGCACAGGCAGGGCCGATCTACTCCCCTGGCTTCGCTTCCAGAACGGATTTGCTTTGAAGTCAACAGATATTTTCCTGGAGAGTCCAAATCTTGGGGGAGGGACCTGAGAAATATGGGCTGAAGCAGTAAGACAATACAGGGACTGCAAACAGACCCCTGCCCAGTGGCAGGACAGAGAGTGGGGGGAGCAAAGGTGGGAAAGAGGCTTACTTGAGCACCAGAGTACCAGGCACTCCAGGTGGAATGCCAGTGCTGACATCACTTTGGGCAGGCCCTTAGCCCTGCTATGCATCAGAATCACCAGAGAACCTTTTCGAAATAAGAGAAACCTGGGCCTGGGATCCTGGCAAAGCCAGTGGGGTCCCACTCACATAGGGCGTAGGGGTAAGGCAATGCTAGCCTCCATTTCTCCACCTGCCTTGCCTTGGCTGCTCCCCGGACAAGAGCCCTTACCCCTACCTCCCCAGAAATACTTCACCAATGAAATCACAAGCTGGGTGAGAGGTATAGAATGTTGGAGGCATTCCATTCACTTCCTGTATACCTCCCGGGGGGGGAATTCAGTGGGCCCTGATCAACTGTTGCAGGTGGTGGGTGATTTCCAGCCAGATCCCAATTATCTCCCTAATGGAGAGGAAAGAAGGGCCTAGATAACCAGAAAATCATATATCCACAGATATTGATAAAACCTACATCTGCTTCCACAGGAAGCTGGGGCCTGCCCCTCCATCTCCCCTACCTCTCTTCGCTGCGTCCAGAATTTGGCTTCTAATTAGAATTGCTTCAGAAAATAGGAACACTGGAGGCCCGTGCCTGGGGCCACATCAGCAGGTAGGGGGAGTTTAGGGCAGTTGAGCTCATCCTCTGGGGAGGCAGAGATTTAGCATTACTGTGTCTACCACATTGGTGGCTCAATGGTAGAATTCTCGCCTCCCACGTGGGAGACCCAGGTTCGATTCCTGGCCAATGCACCATATCACCAGTCTGTCTGTGGAGGTTTGTGTGCTGCTATGATGTTGAACAAGTTTCAGTGGAGCTTACAGACTAAGAGTAGGAAGAAAGGCTTGGCGATCTACTTCTGAAAATTAGCCAGTGAAAGCCCTATGGTCTGATCCAAAACCGATCATGGGGATGGTGAAGGACTGGGCAGCGTTTTGCTCCATTGTGCATGGCGTGGCCATGAGTTGGGGCTGACTCTCTGGCAGCTAACACCACCACCACAAAGTAGATGCTGGTTAATGGACTTATGGGGCCCAGTTGAACAGGGGCCTGCCGGGTCCAGAGCTGGACAATGGACTCTCAGCTGAGTGTGCGACATGGAGCAAAGGGCTTGCCTGGTCTTGTCTTCTCCTGCTCCTACCCCTACCCTAAATGGGTGCATGGCTAAGAAAGCCAATGCTAAGAGCTAGCAGATGTCAGCCTTTGAAAAGCCCGAGGCAGGGAGCAAGGTGAAGAGTCATAGCTATCAAGGACAGAGGGATAAGGAGGGGGTTTGAATCTTTTTTGTGCCACGGATCCCTCTGACAGGCTGGTGAAGCCCACGGACACCTTCTCAGAATAACGTTTTTAATTGCGTAAAGTAAAATACACAGGGTCGCAAAGGCAACTAATTATTCTGAAATACAGTTATCAAAGTATTTTTTAAAATGGTGCTACAGTACTGTATGTGCTTCCTAATGCATTACACAGTAAGATTTAGCAGCGGGTCTAATAACTGCTGGAATTTCAAAGCAGCGATGAGTGTCAGTGGTATTTTGCGATCCTTGGGATGTGTGATATGATACGAAAATATCTGAGATTTCTCTTGGGGTCAAAATCACAGGTATTGCAGATACCACCGTGGTTCATCTCTACATTCATAACTGAAGGAAATGCTAAGCTTCAGTTAGAGGTTAGCGAGAATAAAGATGCATATTTTTCTTTCTCCAGGTTTCTGAATGCCTTGTGGGGTGGGGAGGGATGTCAGTGGACTCCTGAGTTAAGAAGCACTGAACTGAAAGGAAGCTAGGGAGAGGACCACAGGGTCTACACCCGTGAGCATGACCATTGCAGAGCAGCGTGGGGAGAGGGGCTGGAGAAGCTACAGGCTGGACAGGCTGACATTATAGGAATACGCATGAAAACAAATGTAAATACAAGGTTGTGGGCTGTGGCTCCCCGGCAGGGCTGGAACACAGGTGGAATGGAAAATGAGGGTGATGGAGAAAAATCAAGGCCAGGATCACAATCTCCCCTCCTAACCTCCTCCCCTGCAGGGTTCCTGAATATGGCATTTTCTCGGTCATTTGCTTTCTTTTATCTGTTTATTTGATGATGTTTTCTCCTTGGGGAGGTGGGCAATTCTCTCTGTTTTTTCTATGCCCCTCAAACAAATGAATTGTGTCATCTCCTGCCTGAAACACCATCATGTGGAATTAGCTCATGCCAGATGTGTCCCTGTTCAGCGCTGTGGTGCAGACGCTCCCCGGCGCCTCACCTCCCGCCCTCACCTCCCCACCAGCTGTGCTGGAGGTGGGGGGGCCCACCTGCTTGGTAGGGCCAAACCTCTGAGATGGACGCCCAGTGTACCCAAAACCCTGTGATGGAATTCTCAACCCTGTAGTCCTCAGGGGCCCCTGGAGGGGACCCGCCTCATGGTGGAGGAGGCTGTCGGTGCACGTGGACAGAAGGATCCTCACTTCCTTTTAAGGCTACCACTCTCATCACTGTTTCTCATATTCAGGTGTGCTAACAGGAGGTGGCCACTCACGTCTATGCTGTTACTTAAGCTCATCTCCTCTACAGAGATGGGGAAGTGGGAGTCACCAGCATTTGGAAAACCACCGCTGAGCTAGGAGAGAGTGGGAGCCACAGCCGCAAATGGGGGGCCCTGTAGCACATTCTAGCAGAGGATTGAGAGCTAGAGGCCAAACTCCACCACCTACTGGCTGTGTGGCCTTGAGCAAGTCCCTTAACCTGGCTAAGTCTCAACTTCCTCGTCTCCGAAAAGGGTAAAATAATACACGTGTCTTTCAGGGCTGGGAGTAATAATAATACCAGAAAAACAAACCAGTTGCCATAGAGTTGATTCCGACTCATGGAAACCCCATGTGCATCAGAGTAGAACTGTGCTCCACACAGTTTTCAGTGGATGATTTTTTTGGAATTAGATCACCAGGCCTTTCTTCTGAGGTATCTCTGGGTGAACTCAAATCTCTAACCATTTGGTCAGCAGTCGAGTGTGTTAACAGTGTGTACCACCCAAGTTCTCTCATAATAATAATAATAGGCCAGGCACTGTTCCAAATACATGTTAACTCATTTAATCCTCTTAATAGCTCTGTGAGGTAAGTACTATCATTGTCCCCATTTCACAGACAAACAAATAGAATCAGAGAGGTTAGATAAGTCTCCAAAGGTCACACGGCTCCAAGGTGGCAGAGCCAGGATTTGAACCAAGGCATTCTTCAAAGCCCTTATTTTTAACCACTCCATCTGCCTCCAACTTGTTAACCTGTGAAGGGATGCTCCAGGTGGTACCAAATAGACAAGCATGTGTGCCAGCTGGGAGAGGTGGGGTGGGGATGAGGCCCACAGAGGTCCCCTGTGCCTGAAAGGTTGGGGGATAAGTTCAAGGGAAAGGAGGATGGGGCCCAATGTCAGGGGCAGGAGTGATGCGGAAGCACCAGGCTGTCACACTCCCCTTTCCATCCAGGTCCTCTTGGACAAAAAGAATGTCAGGATTTGCAGAGACTCAACAAGACTGACCATTCCAACCTGTGGTTTTCCAGAGGTAGATACTGAGGCACCAAGTGGGGATGTAGCCTGCCTGAAATCACACAGTGAGTAGGGAGCAGACCTGGAGGGAGAAGCCGGCTTCAGTTCTTTCTCCCACCTTCTCTGGGGAGTCAGGGTAGGCCTAGTAGCAGAGTGCTGTGGTCAGTGTTCAAAACCCCAGGCCAATTTTAATTCAGGAGGGCCTTTGTTGACAGACTGAAGGTGCCAGCTCAGTGTCCTCCTTGGAAGAGTTCTGAAGGGCAGTTTCTACTGGACTTTCAGGGGTTCATTATAAGGGGGTTGGAGAATCTCAGGCTTCTTATAAACACCTTAAGAAGAAAATGGCTAAACTGCAAGACAGCTTCAATTTAGACACCGGAAAGCACCTGCTGGCTGAACAGGTGGCCAAGGAGGTGGGAGAGTTTCCTCTGGAGGAGACTCAGCTGCATTTCCCTGCTCCCACTCTTGCCCCTGACTCTCCATTTTCAGCACAGCAGTCGGGGGGTCCTTAAGAAAGGTGACTCAGACCATGTCAGTTCCCTGGCTTCCCATTGCAATCACAGTAACGGAAAACGCTTCCTGTGGCTGACAAGACCTGGCCCTACTGACTACTACAGCCTCCCCTCCTCCCGCCCTCTCCCACTCCCCCTGGGCAGCCACACAGGACTTTTCTTCCGCGCCTCAAAAACGCCAGGCTGTTTCCCTCATTGGGACCTCTGCCCCTGCAGGGGAGCACCCACTTCCGGAAAGTCCTCGCGGCTGCCTCCTCCTCACCACTTCACTTTAGCTCAAACATCACCTCTGCGAGGACTTCTCAGACCACTCAATCTAAAATAGCCCCCTTACCCCACCTCATCACTCATTCTGTTTACTGTCTTGCTAACATTCTACCTGAGATGATGCTGGTGCTTACTCCCCTGGGCTCCTCGCTGGAAGGAGATATAAACTTTTGGAGGGAAGGAACCACATCTTCAGCTCCATCTCCCCGGGACCTAGCACAGTGTCAGGCACTTACTAGGTGGGCAATAATGTTTGAGTGAATGAATGAATGAATAATCCCCCCCACTGCGTAAGTTTCAATACACCAGTTACCACCAGTCACTGTCCAGTTGATGCCAACTCATGGCAACCCTATGTGTCAGAGTAGAACTGTGCTTCACAGGGTTTTTAGCAGCCGATTTTTTGGAAGTAGACTGCCAGGCCTTTCTTCCGAGGTGCTCTGGGTAGACTTGGACTTCTAACCTGTCAGTTAGCAGCTGAGAACATTACCCACTTGCACCACTCAGGGACTCCAAGTTTCAATACAATCCCTCAGAAAGGGCAGGGGGCTGGCACAGAAATGAGATCTGAGGGCCTTTCTGAACAATTCCAATTGCCAGAAGCATCCAGACATGGCAGTAGAGGCCTGTCTGGGGGATACTGGTACCCCTTTCCCCACTCCAACCCCTCTCCTTCATAAAACAATTCTCAAGGACAACGGCTAATACATTCTGAGATGCTGTGGGTCAGAAGTGAGACAGAAATTAAGTGGCTCAAATGCTTCCAACTCCTGAGAAGAAAGGATACGATGTAAATGGATGGCATTTCTCCCGACCGGTGGGTGGGAGGAACCGTCAATTTTCAGCTCTCTGGGTCAACCGGGAGGGGTCACGGATAATACAAAACAGTATTTAAAAACAAAAACCCTGGCTGGTATTTGTCCTCAGACAGAGGACCCAGGACACAGATAATCTACTGCACTGAAAGAGGAAACTGGTTTTTAGGACAATGGAACAGAAAATTCCAACCATTCCAACCAACCCAGCCCATGCCAATGGGGAAACTGGGGGGGGGGG